TTAAAGTTAATAAAAAGATTATAAGTGAACATTTTCGGATTACTCGGATTACTATGACATGTTTGTGTTTGTTGCATTTGTGTCCGACTGTCTTGTAGTTAAGGGAGCACAAGAGGTCTGTCAAGAGAACATGTACGGCCCTCCAGAGCACTAATCCTCACCGCAAGCCAGCAGAACCCAATCAGACAACTCTAGACACCCGCTGGACACACACACACACTCACAGAAAACACAAGTGACCATGGCATGACTGCAGAGGGATTATCGCTTGTCCCCTTCTCTCTCTCACTACGGCCATATGCTTGGCACAAAAACACACCTCCCCCATTACACACTTTTATGCGTGTGCACACAAACACACTGTTCGGATCTACAGGCTTGAATTTGTCTATGGCCAAAAAGGCATCTTTTTATAGCCTGCTGGTAATCCTTTGACCCAGTTTGCCATGCAAGAGCACACTAAAACTACCAAGTTCTGCTTCTCTCTTGCTTGGTTTCTTTCATTCATTTGTTACAGCAGAGCACCCCACATTTGTCTGCAAGGATTATTTTGCATGAAACAATTCTTTCTTTTAACATGATTAGGTTTTTAGAAATTCTTCTGATTAAAATCCTTGCTGATAAGTGATTGAGATAAAATATTCAACTAAATTTTAGCATTTTTTACCTCAATCCACCAGGTAAAAATAGTCACATTTGTGAGATATGAAGTATATTGTGAGAAATAATGCTGCAAATACAAGAATTTGTCACAATTGTGAGAAATAAAGTAGCAATTCTGATATAAAGTTACAGGAAATTAAGTCACAATTGTTAGATATAAAGTGCCAAATATGATAAATAAAGTTGCAGTTGTGCGATATAAAGTTGCAAATACAATAAAAACATAATTGATTGTTAATAAATAATAAAAGTTAATAAAAAGTTTAATACAATAAATGTGTTAAACTTGAGAAATAGTATCAACTATGAGATATAAAGTTGCAACTGTGAGATATAAAACTGCAAATAAAGTCAGATTTGTGAATAATGCATTTGCAATTATGAGATAAAAAGTTGCAACTGTGAGATACAAAGTTACAAATACAAGAAATTAAGTTGAAACTGACAAATAGTTGGTATTAGGATATAAAGTTTTGAACAATTGTGACAAAGTCAATTGAGAAATAATGTTTCAATTGTGAGATATAAAGTCACAATGGTTAGATATTTAAAACATGCCGTTATGCGAAAAAGAGGCGTAAAGTAAAAAATGTCCTATTATTATTATTACTACTACTACTATTGTCATTTTGTAAGGTGGAAAAAGGCTTCTATAAAAATTACATCTGATCGCCCCAAAAAGTAATCAGTAATCAATAAATAATTAGTTATCAGTTAGTACCACAAAATGGTACTGGACGAGTTCTGCACCAAAGTTTAATACTTAATGTTAGGGGTTTGTTCAAATGTCTAACCCTAAGTATAAGTGATAGCAATAGTAATGACTTAGCAAGTAACACTAACTATTCACTTGCCAGCGAAATTTAAAACCATACGTCTCCAAATTTCTGTCAGAACATTTCTAAGTTCTGTCAGCCCCAAATGTTTCCAGGAATAATTGGCAGATAGGACAGATTTCCAAGGTAATGCATTGCGGCTCTAAATTATCGGCTAAATTGTCATTAATGTCCTACACCTGAGTCATCATCTCTCACGTCTGCATCCATCAACACACTAAATTAAAATTAAAGCCTCTGTGTAGCGCACCATCCAGTCGAGTGGGCTTACCCGAGGTCCTGTGCCCAGTCGGAGGTTCAGAGGCAGGTGTGTGTGGAGATGAGAAATGGCAGAGTGTTTTGCACAGGCCCCATGGGATCCAGCCTTCTGTTGGCCTTCACTGACCCAGATCTGCCCCGAGAAAGATTAAACTCAAGGGTCCTTCTGTTCCCTAAAGCTTACGCTCCACAGGAAGGGTACACAAATCCAAGCTAGTTCGACTGGAGCTGCAGAGAGAAAAGAAAAAGCATTTATGTGCAATTAGTCAAGAATTGCAGAGATTACACCAGTTGACTGCGTATTCAAGAACCTCTCACAGGCCGATGGTTTGGTTTATCTCAGAGGCGCAAACATTGCTTACTTGCCACATAAATGAGTCCTCATACCTAGCTAACAGCCCGGCAGCTGTAAAGGCTAATATCATTCTTTTCTCGTCTCTAAAGAGCATTCAGCCGTTTTAACCCAGTGTTCATCGTAAAACATCTTGACATTGATTTCAAAGCCAAATGCCAAAGCCGCTGTTTTACTACCTTGTTTGAACATTGTCCTCTTAGTTTTAATGTGGCAATTGCATGCGATTTGCATACATTAAATGAACAATGCGGTTGAAGGCATCTATCTCAGGGTTCTGTAATTAACATGGAAATGGGAGAATGGTATTTTGACTGAGCTTTGCTCCCCTCTGGCCCTCCTGGGCGTGTCTCCACTGACACAAAGCTAATAAATGAGCTAGTGATTTATGGGTAGTGGGTCTCCACTTAAGGAAGAGTGCGTGTCTTGACTACTTGGTCTGAATTCTAAGGAGATCTTCAAAGGTGAAAGCTCAGATAATCTCTGTACCCTCTACCTCTCTCAAGAAATTGCACCCTCCATGTGATCCACCTCTAGGATTGATTCATTTTGAAAATGACAATCATGAGAAGAACCTTCCACTGGCAGGTTGCTTGCTCCAACACCTGCCTGGAATGTTCTAGTAATTATGCAGACCTTGATTAGCTGGTTCAGGTTTGTTTAATTAAAGGAATCAAACGGGAGAAAAAAAAAGTTCGGCAAAAGGCAGGATCGAACTTGAGTCGATCGCGTCAAAAAGCCAAGGGCACACGCTTATCTAACTGCGCCACTGGAGCTGATGACTTTCAGCCACTTTTAACTAAATCTAAATATACACTCCGTATTTTTTATTCCATAGTAAGGGCAATTCATACAGTTCATTTAAACTGAGCTACTTTAATACCATCCCGAACTTTCTACCACGACTCTGCTGTTCTTCAGCTGGTTCTTCCCTGTATAAGTTGATTGACAGATGTCTCGTCCAGTCAGCGGTGAGTAATCCCAAACCAATGGCACTGTCTCAAACTATACCTACCTCTTCCGGTTTGTCTGATTTGTCGTTGTGTTTTCTGACTTGTTAATTAGGGATGGGCGATACCACTTATTTTGTTTTCGATACGATACCGATATTTTTCAAGGCAGTATCGTCGATATAGATACCGATACGATACTTCTGAACTAAACTTTTAAATTATGAAATTTATTAAATTATTAAATTACTAAGAGTAAAATGGGTAATGATAACCACTTAACTTTGTTTAAAACACATTTTAACATTCAATCTGCCTTAATTGTAATTTATTAGGTTATATTTTTGTTTACACATGGTTCAAATGTGTTTTTTGTTTACACATGATTCAAATCTACAAATACTACAGTTGAACTATGGTCACTTTAGTAAAACCATGGTTCATTTATTTTTAGTTTGAGTATCGATACTTTCGATATATTCGATATATTGATACTTAGGATCGATACGCCCATCCCTATTGTTCATTTGTTTTCGGATTTGTCGTTGTGTTTTCTTACTTGTTATTTTGTTTTCGAATTTGTCATTGTGTTTTCTGACTTGTTATAATGTTTTCTGAATTGTTGTTGTGCTTTCTGAATTGTTATTTTGTTTTTTAGACTTGCATTTGCCTTTGTAATTTGTTATTTTGTTTTCAGAATTGTGATTTGTTTTGCACTTCTTGGGCACCGTACAAATCCAAAGAGATATTCTTTATCGAAGTTAAGACTTGTGATTTGCTTTGCACTTCTCGGCCACCGTAATATAACCATTGGTATTTCATTAAAAAGAATAGGCCTACCATGTTCTTGTTCTTTATGAGATGTGGTTTTATTTAATTTTAACATAAAGGCATGTTGTGTGTCACTGCAGTTAAATCGTTGTCTATCATGATAAAACCTTAATATCAAACCTATGAGTTTGGACATTTTAGAGAAATGCTTAATAAATGCACTGTAACTAAACCCATTAGATTTCAGCCGACTAAATCTACAGTAACACACGTATGCGGAAGCTAGAGATTACTGTTTATAAAGTTTTAAACATGGATATTTTTCTTACAAAAACGCATAAATTCGCTTCAGGAGGCCTTTATTCCTTAAAAGTAATAAAAAAGAATCGTTAATAAACCGGAACCGGTTTCTCTTCCCTAGCCAGAACCAAACATTATGGATGGAAGTGTTCCTGAGGTAAAGACCGTTCAAATGGCTAGTTGTTTACTTTTATATTTTCCTTTTTTCACTCAGTCTATATGAGCACACACTGCTTTTTTCATGTCTTGTTTGCTGTTTTTCCTTCTGACTTTCTCACCTCAGGCTAATGTTAGCAGTCTCAGGTGGGAGTGACTCACATTCTTTGTTTTTCTTCTTTCATTATTTACCCTCTGCTTGCTTTATCTAACTCACTGTCCCTTTCGCCACACTTGTTTTCTTCATTCCTTTTCCCCGCTCCGCCTTCGCCCCCCCCTTTTTCCTTCTCAGCATCCAGTGTTGCCCTGGAAGGTTATTTCATGGCCCTCAGTGGCGGTTCAGCCAGGTGGTAGTGCTGCCTGAGCGCCTGCTGTAACCGTAGAAACTAAAGATTAACGTCGAGTCCAGCCTTGTCTTTGTTGTTGAAAATATGCGGCCTGATTTCTGAATAAACTAACTAGCTAATAACCACTTCAAAACTTTTAAACAACAAACTTTCAAAAACAGTAATACCATGTAGGCTATTATATAAAACCATTAAAAATGGTTACTTAAAATAAAGTACACGTATAAAAAATAAATATAAACAAAAACAATTTCAGATAACGGATTTCTCATTTTCATTTAGTTTAACTTGATATACTAAAACTATTATCTCAATTAGGCTATACTAAATACACTGATTCATACCAGGACAAATACGTATAGCTCAGCAAATGTATTTTATTTATACAAAACAACAAGGACTACCAAAAAGTTAGTCAAAGAAACATAATTTTGGTTTTTAGAATGAAATACATTTCCTCACGATCTCCAAAACACTCCTTAAAAAAAGACAAGTACAATCGTTCACAACAGTCGTCAAATGACAAACCATCTTGCTTTGAAAAGAAATGGGGGGAAAAAACACATTCTCTTGTGACCGCAAGGACAGGGATCCACAGACGGAGACTCAGTTAGGGCGTGAGGCTGGCTGTCTAGCTGGCTGGTCAAACAACACATATTGTGCTTTCTATTTTTTTATTTTTTTTGTTGTTGTTCTCCAACACAACAAGAGTGCAATATTATTGTGCTTTGAAATGCTGCTGTATACATTTCTACAAGAGGTTGGCACATTCAGACATTAACTTATCTATAATATCAGAGCTTTTAACATGATTTCATTTCTTCTTTCATGTATAAATACAATATACTCTTCTTTCCTGGCATCTGGACCCCATGTAAAAAGCTTCAGCGGATGATTATTTACAGTGACAGCATGATGAAAAATGCCCCCATGAAGGTCATAAATAACAATAACAATAATTAATAACATAATCAAAAGTCCCAGAATCACGCTCTGAAATCTGTACATGCGTCCATTTCTCTTCGGTTCTTCTCTTCAGCTTCCGAACGAAAACGGAGGGATTTCCATGTAAAACTTTCTGCGTCTCATAGCCTTCCCTTATCTCATCTCCTGGAAGAGAAGAAAATTTTTTTTTTAATTACAAAAGATAAACTTTCAAGTTGATATGTTTGATGATAATATGTTTGATGCAAATACTGTCATTTGAAAGTCTTAAAAAACAGCTTAGACCAGTTTGGAACAGCTTCTAAGATGGTTTTATATGGACAATGCTGGTCATTATAGCAGCCTGACCATTGTAAAGGCTGTTGTTTCACAGTAGAAATCGAAACTAAAGAGACCGAACAACAACAAAATAAAGGAGACTGCAACAACAAAAGACACCTGCATTGACAAGCACTTGCGTGAGAGGGTTATAAGAAAGCAGCAACTTTAGTTTAAAAGACTACAAAGATATTTTTATCGGTCATAACTTTTGGAAACAAATAGAGCAGACGCTGGACAAAGACAAAGCTCTCTAGAGCGCCTGTGTCGACCGCCTGCGTTTGCATACACCTCAAATGGAGTATACTTTGAAAGGCTATGCGTTCAGCTGTACACATACACTAGCGTGCACATAAAAAACGAAGTATACTTTGGGCTTAAGACACTAAAACCTTTATGAAAGTGGCCAAAATATACCTTACACTGGTAACCAGTGGTTTTAACTGGTCATTTAAACTGGTCAACCATTTTAGCTGGTCTATTCAGCAGATAATTGTGGCCTCTCTCAGGACAAAAGAAAGGCTGTTTTTGTTTGGTATGTCTATGGATGACTTAATGCAGCAGGGAGTGTCCATCATGTGACGTGACAAGATCTGAGGACAGAGAATAAAGGCGATCTCAGAGGCAGACCTCTTCTCCCCTCTCGCCATCAAGCACCTATTCACGCTCTCTGTCCGACATGAAAGATAACGCTAACCACCGTGACAGGACGGGGTAACCCAAAACTATCTCCCTTGGGGAACGTGTAGCCCTCTTTTATGTGGTCTGCCTTTTATGTTCAAGAGGGAGTAACCTGAGAGGGGGTCACACATCTGAAGAGACTCATATGGAGTGACCTTAGATGTGCGTAACCCAGTTCCCATCACACAACGGTTCATGTCTATAGGGAAACACTGTAAAAAAAAAAAAAAGTGTTATAGCCACTTTGGCCCATGCAATTAGTTCTTCCTAATCTGATTTCTCTAATTGACTGAACTAGTTGTAAATGGTGAGAAACCCTCTTCTAAATGTTAAAAAGTACCATGGTATTCCTCTGTTTTTCGGAAATGTTGGAAAATATTTTTTGTGTATTATTATGTGATACCATTACTGTACCATGGTACCACTACTGTACATTTCTGCATAGGGAGAATGATGTACGTATCGCATAGATGCAAAATATAAAAAAACCACAAGAAGCACTTTTATTGATTTTACCACAGTACAGTAAAAGGGTGTTATCTACATAATTACAATACAAATGCAATTCAAAATTGACATTATTGAAATTATTAGTAATAATAATAATAATGTTATTGTTATTATTAATGCATGTTGAAACCTAAGAAAATGTTGAAATCTCAAGAAAATAATAACACTCAAATAATGTACACACATTACAATATAATAATCAAAGATCATTGCTTATTTTTTTACAGGCATTTAGAGCTGGAAATCTTTGTCGAATAAAGTGGATTTAGTAAGGAAGACTATGACAACATTTTCTAAGTGCGTCTACTTTTGTATTTGAGAGCTGTAAAACTTGGTTATAAATAATCATGCCAGTGTTTGATATGAGAAAAATCACTTTACATACAGATAAGTCTGTTGTAGCATCTCTTCTGTCATAAGTTCTGTGAGCGGTAGAGAACATACTTCAGAGGAAGTGTCTGATTGCCGGCTAAAAGTAGCCTACTGTCTCTACAGATCACTCTCACTATGTGCTGAACAGCCAGATGGACTCAGTCCGTCTAGACCAGTGGTCACCAACGTGGGGCCCGTGGGCACCTGGTAGCCCGCATGGAGTCTCGGGGTCGCCCGCCAAGCACGTTCTATAAATAGCCTAAATTAGCGTCGGGCGATAAATGATATCATATCGAGATTATGATCAAATTTATGTTAATAATGATGATAAGCTCTCAACATTTTTACTCAGTATGGATTAATCACAACAGAAAAAAATGTTACAGCAACCAGTCAGTGCATATCACTAATAAGTCTGCATGTTCTGTGTGTCTGTGTGAATGCGTGGAGTAGTTTCATCTGATACAATCAAACACACGTGACTCGCAGTGTTTCAGCGTCTGCGTCTCAATATATGAGGACATGAACATATGCACTTCATCTTCAGAGCTGCTCTGAGAGTTACTTCACCAGCTTTATGCAGTTTCATTTGAGAAAAAATACCGTCAAATAGCCTACACGCTGAAACTAAAACTAAAACTGAAAGACCTTCACGACAAACCATCAAAATAAAAGTCAGGTTGAAATTATATGACTGAATATATTACTACTGTATACTACAATGCAATTCTCAAAGTAATAATAATATTATTATTTTTAAGGAATACTTCAGGGAGCCCTCACTCACAAAAAGGTTGGAGACCCCTGGTCTAGACTCTTCCACACTTAGTCAATTCTGTCTTGCCAATGAATGAGTGTTAAGAAAAGATAAACTAGTGCACATGTTTGCGAGGCCGTGTTTGACTAAACTTGGCTAATGTTTGAGATTTAGGATTAGGGTTAGGATTTGGGAGGACGAGGATTACATTTTGAAAGCATACACTTAAAAAAATGTTTAATCAGTCTTAATCTTAATCAGTGTCTTAATTTATTGTCTTGAATTACTATATAAATAAACTGAAAGACCTTCACGAAAACCGTCAAAATAAAAGTCCAGTTTAACTTGAAATTATAACTGAATATATTACTACTGTATACTACAATGCAATTCTCAAAGTAATAATAATAATATTATTATTATTTTTAAGGAATAGCATGCAACCAAGTTATTTTTTATTATTATTAATTTATACAGTTATGTTGTGCAGCATCATGTCTGATAAAATTAAATTACCTTTTTTTTTTAAATGCAATGTTTTGTTGTAAATTGATTTTCATTTGATTACATTTTAAAAGATTGATTAAATTGTTAAAGTTTTATTAATTCATTTCACTAGACACCATCATAAAGCACGGAATCCATAAGAAATCAAATGGAAAACACAGAATTTAGGGA